GTAGAACTAATCTGCTTTGTAAACTTTCACTCAATTTACAAAAAGTTAAAAAAAACAAAAACACTTTTCAGAGCCAGAGGTCAAGAGTGCATTCTTTGTGAATGTGAATAGTTAACATCCATTGCAATATCCCCTGACTGTAACACTGGGAGGGTGAGAACTAGGTATTGTTAAGTGCTGTTGAGTTGGTTCCAACTCATAGTGACCCCATATAAGGTTTTCAAGGAGCAACTGGTGAGTTTGAACTGCTGATTTTGTGGTTCACAGTTCAGTGCTGGTCCTACAACGCCTAAGGAGTCCTTAAGAGGTAGGTATTGTTGTTGTTAAGTGCCGTGGAGTTGGTTCCGACTCATAGTGACCCTGCACAGGGTTTCTGAGGCTGTAAATCTTTGCGGGACCAGAACGCCTCAACTTTCTCCCGCGGAACCGCTGGTAGTTTCGAACTGCTGACCTTGTGGTTCACAGCCCAATTCGTAACCACTACGCTACTAGAGGTAGGTATAGCAGAGAAAAAGTTTTCCTACCATTTAAGTCACTTTTTGTCTGTTTCAGTGTGCCCTGCCTATCTTTGAGCATTTTATGGAATGGAGATTACATATTTCTAGTTGCCTTCTTTGGTGCTCATTTAGAAAGGTTGAGATTTTACACCTGCTCAAGTCACCATCTTCCCAGAATTCCATATTTATTCATTTTTTAGACATTAGTTCCAAGTGTGGCTGCTAACCTCAAGGTCAGCAGTTTGAAACTTCCAGCTGCTCCTGTAAAGATTTACAGCCTCGGAACCAACTCAACGACACATAACCAACCAACCACCACAAATTAGTGCAATCCTGGTGTGATTCAGTATTATCTGCTTCTCTATTAAGTTCGATTTAAACACTGGACTGCAAGGTTGGCTTGAACTGCAAGCTGAGGGTGTATTTGTTGCTGTTCCTTGGCTTTAGAAAATTCGGAGTCTTTATAGATCTTGTTCAAACCCATCAGGTGCTCTTCAGAAACCCTATACAGGGTTGCTATGAGTCAGAACTGACTCAACGGCACTCGGTAACAACAACAGCGTAATAGGAGCCCTAGTAGTGTAGTGGTTACTCGTTGGGCTGTTAACCGAAAGGTCAGCAGTTTTGAATCTCCCAGCTGCTCCGTGGGAAGATGAGACCTTATGCTTCTGTAAAGATTCATAACCCCAGAAACCCTATACATAGTCTCCACTTGACTCCATGGCATGTTACTACCATTACAGCTTAATACTGTTTTAGGAACTGAACGTGTAGAAGTTAATCAGCACAATTTCTGCCTTTAAGGACCAAGAGCATTTAAAAGAAATAAACTTCTGTAGGCTAATAAGTGTAACTACTTTATGTGGTAGATGTAGGACAATACCTATACCAAAATCCATTACCATTGTGCCAATTCCAGCTTGTAAGTTCGAGCTACCAACTTACCAGGTTAGCAGCTGAGTGCTTAACTATTGTGCCACCAGGGGCTTCTTGGATGTGACAGTTGAGAGAAAATTGCCAAATGGATTCTAGTTATTCATGTGAATCATGGAAGTTTTGTGGGGTTGAAAACTTACCATGCACCGAGATCTCAGAGTCAAAAGACTTCACTCCATCACTCTCTTTCATGGTTGTGAAATTCTTTCTCCTGAGATAGCTCATTTTATACCTATGTTAGAGTTCCAGGTTTTTACAATTAATGTTACTGACAATCACTCACAACTGAATCATATAATTCATCAGAACTTTCCCCCACTGTCATTCACAGTTGAAACATATTGTCCTACCAGTATCTTCTCTCACCTTCTCCTACCCAGAACCATATGGAAGAGTTGTTTGATGGCAGTAACAAAGACTAAGCCTAGAAGAGACATATTCAGTAATGCACTACACCACAGTTGTAACCAACTTTACAGCAGTGGGTTTGGTTTGGGTACTGATGTACATTGTTATATACATAAACATGAAAACAATTTAAAGGATATAAAAAATATATTTTGAAAAAAACAGTATTTTTAAATGGTTTACAAACACTTATGACTTCATACTAGAGCCTATGCTCAAACCATAGAATACAATTAGGGTAAAGTTTGATCTTAATGGTAGATAGTTCAAATTGTCTTGATAATTTCATGTATTTTGGCTGACTTCTTGTCAGGCATTACAATGTCACCATTATTTTAAACTTAGGATATTGTTGTTAAGTGCCATCAACTTGGTTCCGACTCAAAGCAGTCCTGTTTCTGAGGAGCAGCTGGTGGGTTTCAACTACTGACCTTGTGGTTTTCAGTCCAGTGCTGTTGATGTAACTCATCAAAAACAGATGTTAGGAGTAGAAGTGTCACCTCACCTCTTTTCTTACAATTTGGTCATCCTTCTTGATTTTAGCATGTATTTCAACATGTGGTGTCTTTCCTGAAATTATTTTAAGCCACTTCTTCATTTTATGAGTTAGTGTACCTGTAAAGTTAGTTAAATGTCAATTTGTGTACATGTCTTATATTTCTTAATAATTTAAAAACTTTTAATCCAGATACACTCTTCTGCTTTTTAAAAATTTTATATTTGTGTGTAAATTGAGTACAGGTTACAGAGCAGATCATCAGTTTTACGTCAACAAATCATATTATTGTTGCTAGGTGCCGTTGAGTTGGTACCAACTCATAGAGACCCTTTGCACAACAGACTGAAACACTGCCCGGTTCTGCACCACCATCACAGTCTTTGCTATATTTCAGCCCAGTACTGCTGCCACTATGCCAGTCTATCCCATTGGAGGATCTTCCTTTTTTCCGCTGACCCTCCACTTTACCAAGCATGATACCCTTCTCCAGAGACTGGCTCCTTCTGACAATATGTTCCAAGTAAGAGAGATGAAGTCTAGCCATACTGTCTGCTAAGGAGCATTCTGGCTGTACATCTTCCAAGACAGATTTGTTTTTTGGCAGTCCATGGGATTTTCATTATTCTCCTCCAACACTGTAACTCAAATACATCAATTTTTCTATTGCCTTCTTTATTCATTGTCCAACTTTCACATGCATATGAGGTTATTGAAAATACCTTGACATGGGTCAGGTGCATCTTGGTCCTCAAACTGATTTCTTAGCTCTTCAACACTTTTAAAGAGGTCTTGTGCAGCAGATTTGTGTATTGCAATATGCCATTTCATTTCTCGACTGCTGCTTCCTTGAGTGTTGATAGTGGATCCAAGAAAAATGAAGTCCTTAGCAACTTCAATCTTTTCTCCATCTATCTTGATGTTATTTATTGGTCCAGTGGTGAGGAGTTTTGTTTTACATTGATGTGCAACCCATACTGTGGTCTTTGATCTTTATCAGTATTTTAAATCCACTTCACTTTCAGCAAGGAAGGTTGTGTCATCTGCATATTGCAGGTTGTTAATTACTCTTCCTCTAATCCTGATGCCAGGTACTTCTTCATATAATACAACTTTATGGATTATTTACTCAGCATACAGATTGAATAAATATGGTGAAAGGATACAACCCAGGTGCACACTTTTCCTAATTTTTAACTATTCATTCAGTGTTCTCTTGTTCTATTTGAACAGCTGCCTCCCTGTGTTTTTTGCCCCATTCTTCCTTCTTTTCCAATCCTTCTGAACTGTATCCTTTTGATCTTGAATAATGACTGATGTTCACGTTAGTCCCTTGGAATCACTGTGTCCAAGCATCTTCAATTTTCATCACTCCTCATTTCTTTGGACAATCTGAGACCAATAGCTGTGCCTCAGATGGCCACATGTAAGCTTTTAAGATCCCAGTCACTACTTACCAAATTAAAATGCAGAGCACTGTGTTTCCAAACTATGTTAAAATTTTTCTTAGCTCAGTATCATGTAACTGAGCAGAAACATTGAATAAATTATAGCATTTTTGTTCTACCATACGGCAAGTTATTTTTAACTCCCCAAGTCATACATGCACTGGACTGGTAACCTCAAGGTTGGTAGTTCAAATCCACCAGCCACTTTGAGAAACCCTATACTGGCTTGCTATGACTGGATGGTACACAACAACAACAATCATTCATTATTCTTTGTAATACAAAATAAAGCCAACTAGACCACCAAGTCTTGGCATGGTGCTCTAGGATAAAGCACTGGATCACAATTTGAGGCTGGTGGTTCAAACTCACCAGCTGTTCCTTGGAAACCCTTTACATAGTTGATATGAGTCATAACTAACTTGACGGCACTTAACAACAATGCCAACAACAGACTATCAAAAATAGCACTCACAATACAAATTGTTATGACAAAAATAGAGAAATTTACAAAAAGGTAACTAATTATATACTTGTTGCCTCTTTTTACTTTTTTTTCTGAGTCTTTCATTTCCAGCTCAAGAAAGCAATGAATTTTTAAACAGCTTTCTTAAGGTGTAGTTGACAGCAGTAAACCATACAAAACAAAACGTACAATGTGTTTGTCTTGACATATGTGAAATCATAGCAATCAAGATGAGAAACTTATTTATAACACCCAAAAGAAAACTCCCTAAGAAAAGTGTATCAGCTTTTGATCAAAGAATTCTTAGTTGAGCTAATATTCAAGTATTTGTAGAAAAGGATTAGGAGCAATCATTGGCAAAGCAAAAGAGGAAAATAAGAGATATCAGCAAGCATAAACAAAACAATAAAAAACCCAATAAAGAATAATTGAATTTATATGAAATTTACAGATATGAAATGTGTGATTAAATATGGCATTTGCTCTGAAGATTTCCCTGATTCAATGTAAATTTAAATTAATCGTTTTTAAAAATTGAAAAGGATATACCTATATTGTAAAGAACTGCTACAAGTTTGGAAATAAATAAAATATTTTGTCTCACATTTTAATAGAAGCTAGTTTGGCTCTCAGGCTAATTGGAAAGAAGAAAGTTAAAATATAGTTAGGAATTAAAAGTATATTCTCATTTCAAAGTAATAATCATATACAAAGTAATATTCCTAAGCCTGATTTGTAATGTCTTACAGATTTGTGGGCTCACTGGGTACCATCATCATAAAATGTAAAGATTTCCGAATTATTCATTTGGATATTCCTGGAATGGAAGAGTGTTTGAATATAGCCAGTTCCATTGAGGTAAGTATTCTGGAGATAAAATCTGATGAAAATGTAAAAAATCTTCTCTCTGATTCAGTGCAACTCTTATATTTCTTTATTAGCTATTTGATCATATTCTATGACTTACATATTGCAGACAAGCATCACCCTGATTCATTGTTAGAGAAGTGTAATGGTGTTTTAGTGACTTAATAGAATTTTTTAGTGTTGTGAGTAATCCAACTTTGCTATATATTAGGAAATCCACATGAGTTCTCATTTTGACCAAATTATAAATGATGTTTCAGTTTATTTTCTTTTGAGTACCTGTGAGTGTTTATTTGGAGAAACCATTTGTTATAAGTGCCATTGAGTTAGCTCCAGCTCAGCAGGCTATAAATTTTTACAGGAACAGAAAGTCTCACCTTTCTCCTCCCATAAAGTGACTGCTAGGCTAGAAATGCCATTGTGATTCACAGTCCAGTGCTTATCCTACAAAGCCACTCCATTCCCTTGGAGAAACCATTGTTGTTGTGGTTGTTAAGTGCCATCAAGTCGGTTCTGACTCATAGTGACCCTGTATAGTGTTTCCGAGGAGCGGCTGGTGAGCTTGAACCACCGACCTTGTGGTTCAGCACATTAACCCACAGTGCCACACCAGGACTCCAAAGAAACCATTAAAAGTCAAAAGTTTCTTGGAACAAATTTTTACATTTTGCTTGATATTTCATGTTCACTATACAGATTTTGGGAGCATAGTGGCTCCATAAGATAAGCAAATTGTCTATTTATAAAAGTGAAGTTATATAGGAGAGTCCTGGAAGAAGAGTGAAAGGCAGCTGGAGGATGAAGAAGGAGCATGTGCTGCACTGTCAGTTTTCTGCATGGTACCCACTGTTCCGAAGTCTCACTATCAAGAGTGTTATTCTTCTACTTCCTCAGAATGTGAAGGATTATTTACTTGATGATGGAACTCTGGTGGTTTCAGGAAGGTAAGATCCACCAACATGTTCTCAGACAGACAATGATGATGAGGCAGAAGAAATCCAGTGGTCGGATGACGAGAACACAGCCACACTGACGACACCAGAATTTCCTGTGTTCACCACAAAAGTTCATGAAGCTATCAGTTCCTTAGGGGGCAGTGTGTTCCCTAAGCTGAACTGGAGTGCTCCAAGGGATGCGTATTGGAGAGCGATGGATAGTTCTCTGAAATGTAAAACCCTCAGTGACATCTTTCTACTTTTCAAGAGTTCTGATTTCATCACTTGTGACTTAACTTCATTGTACTGATGATTCCTCAGATCCTTGTATGGAATATGAGCTTATTCTTCGAAAATGGTGTGAATTAATTCCTGGGGCTGAGTTCCAATGCTTTGTCAAGGAAAACAAGCTTATTGGTATTTCTCAAAGGGACGATACACAATACTATGACCATATTTCTAAACAAAAGGATGAAATTTACAGATGCATACAAGACTTTTTCAAGAAACATATACAGTATAAATTCTTAGATGAAGACTTTGTATTTGATATCTATCGAGACAGTAGGGGCAAGGTGTGGCTAATTGATTTTAATCCATTTAGTGAGGTAACAGATTCACTCCTACTTACTTGGGAAGAACTGATATCTGGAGCAAACTGGAAGGCTGAACTTAATGAAGGAGATGCTCTGGAGCAGGATTCTCCAGCTTTTCGCTGCACGAACAACAATGAAGTTACAGTCCAACCCATCCACTACCTGAGTTATTGACTGCCCAAGGATTTTGTAGATCTTTCTACTGGTGAAGATGCTCACAAACTAATAGATTTTATTAAACTGAAAAGAAATCAGCAAGAAGATGATTGATTGAAGTTGAAGACTAAATTGAGGAGGAAACCTTCTCTACTTCGGGAGGCTATTCATAAGCCACAACTTCCTTAGTAGCCCTAACCTACTGGGAGTCGGGGAGGACAGTATAGAAATCAATAGGTTTTTATATTCATGTATAGTCTGCTGGGGAAAAAATGGTTGGATTTTGCCACTTTTAAAAATAACATAATAAATGCATCATAAACAGTGAAGTAATACAGTATTTTTTCTTTTGTGCTTGACTTAGTTCACTCACATAATGTCCTTTAGATTTGTCCACATTTTAAGGTGTTTTGAGGACTTATCATTAATCTTTATGGCTGCATAGTATTCCATTATACAAGGGTATATCAAAAATTTCATGAATAATTCCATTATTTTTTAATTCCATTTTTTCTTGAAACTTTTTGAAGCCTCCTCATATGTAATACTTTGTTTATTTACTCATGTCTTGATGAGCACTTATATTGTATTCTAGGGGGGAAAAGCCCCCAAATTAAAATACATTTTATAGAGACCTCTTTGTTTAGTTTTAGACAAGAAAAAGACAAACCAGCTGAATGCAGGAGACCATAGCATGAGACCATAATGTCACTTGACCAAAGCTTGGGTTTGATGCTCTGTAGTGGTTGAGTCCAACTAAGAAACATCCCAGATAAACAAAGAAAGACAAATGCCTTTATTAATTAGGAAGCTGGCTTCTTGGACATCCACAAACACAGAAAAAGGGTGTCTAATGAGTATATCTGGTGTAGCACTGTGGGTTAATGCTCCAGACTGCAAAGCCATTTGAACTGCAAGGTCGGCAGTTCAAGCTC